GATGTAACATATTGGCCCAGGTATGTAAAGGACGGTGAGAGGCTAAGTGGTTTGTAACGGCATGACCACTCCTTTCAACTCATGTCGTGAAAGGAGGCGGCCAAAGGGAATATTTAAGTGTTGGCTGAGCTTTAACGCCACGCCGAAAACGCCCGAAGTGCATTGCGGGTATAAACGGATAGTTTATCAGTTTCTTTTTTTGGGAAAGTAAGTAAGTAAGTCTGAGTGACCTGACGTACTTCTTCTATTCGTCCTTTACCGTACTGTCTTTGTCGATTTTGTCTGTAGAGTGGTGGCACAGTCTAAGACCAATAAAACCCCTCCACCTCTATTTAAAGTATAACAAACTACACCTACGTCAAACTTGGTCTCATCGTCGTACCTCAGCCAGCAGTGGTTTTATTTATTTATTCACCAGGCTTTTCGAAGTACTGTTTTATTTTATGGTGGTATTGGAAGGAGTCCGTCACTACAACTATTGGCCCTGTCCTCCCTGGGGGGGGGGGCACTACTCCCTTTGACATTCTTTACTAGCCCCCCTTAGGGGAGGCCTCACCGTCAGTACCCTGCCCCTGACCTAGGACTTAATACAAAACTATAAAACACCAAACGACAGGGCCGACAGCTAGTCGGACACGTCCGTCGCAGAAAGGTGACGTCCGGACACGTAGAGTTGGGGGCGGGCGGGTAAAACTCGCCAATAATAGGGGAAGATATTTACTCCGGACCCTGTCGTCTGTTCGAATGTGTAGAAGAAGTCTGAACCTTTTGAGTAAGAGAAAAACCTGAGGTGGAAGCTCCTCTATTCTTAATGATTTGTTTCTTGAATATATGATTATTTCCGACCGAATAGATTTTCGGTCAACTCAATCTGAACCTTTACAAAACGCAGATACTTTGGACTACAAAGAATATACTAAGACAAAAAAAGAAGTTCCAACATAAAACAACACGCGTATACACATTAATTTATGGGGTACTATAGTTTTAGAGGTGAGGTCGTCCATGGCCCCAACCGTTGGGACCCAATCCGAAGTCTCGATCGTCAGACATAAACATTTGTTTCTGTCCTTCTCGACCCTTTACTTTGTTTTCATGAATTTTTGACTATTTTTTTACAAGACTACCTTCCTTGCTGGAAAAGAGAGAGAAACTTACACCAAAAAATATGGAAAGTCTACTTGTCCGTTGTCAATTTCGGAATGTTACTTGGCCAAAAGCGACGTGGGCGTACGCTCCCCCTGCCGTTCAAGGGTAGTCGTCTTTGTGCACCCAAACGATAGGGACCGCAGGTTTTACCAACTTACCTCGAGGTAACTTTAGTCCTGTCGTTCTTTGAATGGGTGTAGAAGAAGTCTGACTTTTGAGGTAGACGAACAACCTGAGGTGAAGCTTCTCTATCTTAATGATTGTTTCGTGACATATATGATTATTTCCGACCGAATAGATTTCGGTCAAACTCATCGTGAACTTTACAAAATCCGAGGATACATTTGGAACTACTTGAATTACTAAGACAAAGAGTTCCAACATAGAAGAACCAGCTTACGTGAATAACATTCAGAGAAACCTATTTTCCGGAGGCATTTACGTAAATTACAAGAGAATACCAACTTTGATATGAAATCTCCAGTGTATGAGGAATCATGTATAAGTCTTCCATGTATAACAAGAAAATTATGGAGAACAAACAGGACCGTAATATAGAGGTGGTCAACGTAATTGTCATAATATATACATATTTACCGATGATTTACTTACGTTTTACATACTATGGAAGATGTATTTTTTGGATGGCCTTTCATTTCGGTTCAAAGTATTAATCTATCTGTAGAACCTCCATAAATAAAAGCCAAATGTCAAATACAACTTTTGGGCAATCTCTCTCACTGTGAACAATCGGACGGTAAAGAATGAAACAAAAGGCTTTCGGCACCGAACCTTCAATATGAACAAGCAAAGACTTCCCCTTCACTGAACCTTAGTATGGTGGATGGTTTCGGTCATAGGAGCGCTAACTCTACGGCGACAGAGCTTAAGCCCCCAACCTATGAAGCTTTCATTCCGACAGGGTTAAAATTTTTTTCTGCTCTGAGGAGGCTTACGCGCAGTGCTTACGTCGGGTGAAAAGGTAAACTTCTATGTAGACTACCATGTGGGCGCCGCATGGTGATAGGGTCCCGTTACGCGCGTCCCTTCTCACTAAAAAAAAGCTTACTTTACCCGAAGGCCAGTGGGGTCGTCCTCACCTAAAATTTTCGTTGTCGTTCCACCTCTTAGTGATTATTGTTACACTCATAACCCAAACATTGAATTCAATTAAAATTTCATTGCAGTGTGTGCAGTTTGGGCTCCCGTAATTTTGCATGTAGAAGCCAATTTATTATGCCCTATTTATACACTGATGACGCGCTTGACCAACACACAATGTGATAACAAATAACAAGTTAAGTCTTCAAATGAATTTCAGTGTGTCTCTATGACCGAGACCAATATCTATTCAATATGAAATAAAATGTATTTATCTGGTTTTCACTTTGTAACATCCTGGCATATCCAGCGTATGTATGCCACCCTAAATGGATTTTACCATGGGACTTCGACGACAAACGAATAAATAAAGAAGACTGTGACAAAGTTAAAACATGACAAATAATTTGAAACCCTGGTGTAATGTTGGAAACAATAAGTCGAGTACGACGAAACTCCCATCCCATTCTTTCCTTTTCGTATAAAATTTATAAAGGTGGTCTAAACTAGTAGGAAATAGATCAATTTCAAATAAATTAAATAGGATTATGGGTATTGTCAATGGGGAGCTCATTCCACCATTTTGGAGCCAGGATAGCAAACCGACGTGTTTTGCTGATGGGAACTTGGGTCCCCCTCGCAGTGCGGGTGCAGCGAGCCGTTTGGCTGATGCAGAGCGGAGTGCACGTGCTGGGGTGTACGGTTTAACCATGTCCTGGATGTAGGAAGGGCCAGATCCATTCGCAGCATGGTACGCAAGTACCAGTGTCTTGACGTGGATTCTAGCAGTTACTGGAAGCCAGTGAAGGGAGCGGAGGAGCGGCGTGGTGTGGGAAAACTTTTGGAAGGTTGAAGACCAGACGAGCCGCTGCATTCTGGATGAGCTGCAGAGGTCGGATGGCACATGCAGGTAGACCAGCCAGGAGGGAGTTGCAGTAGTCTAGGCGTGAGATGACGAGAGCCTGGACCAGAACCTGCGTCGCTTTCTGGGTCAGCTGGGGACGTATCCTCCTGATGTTGTAAAGCGTGTATCTGCAGCAGCGGGTTGTAGCAGCAATGTTTGCAGTGAAGGACAGTTTGTTATCTAGGGTCACACCCAGATTCCTTGCAGTCTGAGTCGGGGAAACAACAGAGGTGCCGATGTTGATTGTTAGGTCAAGAGTGGGACAATCTTTTCCCGGAAGGAAAAGCTGTTCAGTCTTGTCAAGGTTGAGCTTGAGGTGGTGAGCAGACATCCACTGAGAGATGTCTGCTAGACAAGCAGAGATGCGTGCGACGACCTGGGTCTCTGAGCGGGGAAAGGACAGAATTAATTGGGTGTCGTCAGCGTAGCAGTGGTATGAAAAACCATGCGGGCTAATGACAAATCCGAGCGAGTTTGTGTACAAGGAGAAGAGGAGGGGACCAAGAACAGAGCCCTGAGGGACCCCTGTAGTTAATTGACAAGGGTCGGACTCAGACCCTCTCCAAGTTACCCTGTAGGTGCGGTCTTTGAGGTATGAGGTGAGGAGGGAAAGTGCAGTGCCTGAAACTCCAAGTTCTTGGAGAGTGCGAAGGAGGATCTGATGATTCACCGTGTCGAATGCAGCAGACAGGTCCAGAAGGATGATGACAGAGGAGAGGGAGGCTGCTTTAGCCATGTGCAGTTCCTCAGAGACAGCAAGGAGGGCAGTTTCTGTTGAGTGACCTGCCTTGAAACCAGACTGGTGCGGATCCAGAAGTTTGTTCTGATGGAGGTAACAGGAGAGTTTTTTAAAGACAGCGCGTTCAAGTGTTTTAGACAGGAACGGGAGGAGAGAGACAGGCCTGTAGTTTATAACATCAGACGGGTTGAGAGTGGGTTTCTTTAGGAGAGGGTTTACTCTTGCCTCCTTGACTGTTTGGAAAGTGACCAGAAGTTAGAGAAGTGTTGATGAAATGGGTGAGAAACGGTAGAATATCAGGAGCGAAGGAGGTTTGAAGGGATAGGGTCCAGAGGACAGGTGGTAGGGCGGGCAGAGGTAGTGAGGGTAAGAACCTCACTTGGAGAGAGAGGGGAAATCATCTGTTAAACCCCCACCTCAAGCACGTTGCCTGTTTAATGAAGATTCAAAACCAAGGGAGGCCAAGCAAGCAGAATTGTAGAAAAGGGCTTTAGTGGAGAAATGTCAGGTTAAAAATGTTGTTAAGCTCTACAGTCTGATGTCCGACATTCAGTAGCATACCACAGAGGTTGGCTGTCAACAGAACTGAAATATCAGTTCATCTTTAAGGAAAGTTCGAAGACATTTGTTATAAAGTCTTCTTTTTTAATGATGTTACACAAGGTGTGGGCTGAATCAATAATTAAGTATGATAGGTCTGCTTGTCACACGGTGAATTATGGTATGTTACGTTTCACATACTCTTCTGACAATACAAAGCCATTGAAGCATTTTTCAAACACAACATTCAAAAATAGGCTCATAGGCCAACTACCTGGTAGACAGATAAATTGTTTCCGGGAGGAACTGATGCATCTGGCCATAACGGTGGGTGCTCAGGATGATAAGGTATGGTGTCTATGCCTAGAAATTATGAATATATTGTTACAGTATGCAAGCAGAACCTTTACATTAATCATTTATGATTCTTGTGGCCCATTACTTCTCCTATTAAATTATTAATGCTTTGGACCAACTTTTTTCACATAATCAAGTACTTATTGTTGGCTGCTATAGATTGCTTCTATATATGCAAAGAGAGCCATAAAATGAGACATAAAAGTACAACAACATGCACTTCATTACATTAAACCAGGCTTTTGTGCTTTGAAAGCCTATTATCTGTTTTATATTGCAGGACATTAGATACTGTAAATATCAGCACATTGACGCAGCTGTTTGTCTTTTCTACCCCTCTCTTATTTCCCCAAATCATCCATCCTTCTAGAGTTTTTCTTGGAGCTGCTGGACAATTCTGAGAAGTCTCTCAACAGTATGTTCACACGGACGTACGGGAAGCTGTACATGCAGAACTCCGAGGTGTTCCAGGATCTGTTCACTGAGCTAAAGCGCTACTACACGGGGGGCAACGTCAACCTGGAGGAGATGCTCAATGACTTCTGGTCCAGGCTGCTAGAGCGCATGTTCCAGTTACTCAACTCCCAGTACCAATTCACAGATGACTACCTGGAGTGCGTCAGTAAATACACAGATCAGCTGAAGCCCTTTGGAGATGTGCCCAGGAAGCTGAAGGCCCAGGTCACCAGGGCCTTCATCGCTGCACGGACATTTGTCCAGGGGCTAATGGTGGGCCGGGAGGTTGCCAACAGGGTCGCCAAGGTGAGTTACATTTTCTTTTCCTAGGTGTTTGTTGTGTTGCTTTGTGATCCGGTGCTGTTGGGCAGTGTTGTATTTTCAGATGTTGTATACAGTTCTGCAAATAGCTTTTAAGAAGATATGTCTCTTATATAACGTGATTGTTTTTAAAGATTTCAATCCTTCTAGTCCTTCCTTGGTGTTTTTTCTAATTGAGAAATATGGTTTGAGGATTTAAACATTCATATAATGCTCTTTTCTTCTGTACTGTATCAAAGTATGGGCACCTACAACTTTTTATTTATCTGCATTATTCATACTTTCATTGTTTGAAACCTCTTCACTGGACTTCTCCTGGATTGGATTAGTTGCATCTGAATGATTTAATAAAAGCCCAGAATTATAAACAATATGTTTTTAAGATTTTTTTTAAGATGCATTTGATCTCTGGTTATGAGTTCCAGTACCAGATTGCTTTTCACAGTACACAGTGTGCTAGTAGTCTCATTTCAGAAGAAGCAACCGCAGAGAGTAAAGCTTTGCAAAAGAGTGAAGATTAAAGCATATATCCCCCGAGATTGGTGATGCGGTTTTGTTTGCTGTTTTTCTATTTGCTATTCTCATTGTGTTACTTTTTGGACATTGCTTTTTAGGAAAACAAGTGACATTTTAAATGGTGACAAATAAATAAGGCAATATAAAATGTTTTTTCTTTCCTGTTGCTCATAGTTTGTTTTGAGAAATTGGTTGATTAGATTCTGAAAAATATGTTTTTAGAGCATTATCAAACACTGCAGATTAGAAATGTGTTTTCCAAGGCTTAGCGGATATGTTTTCTAATTCCATGTTAAATACAGTAAATTACGCAACAGTTTTTCATCTACGTCTAAACTGTAAAAATTATATAACCAAAGCTGTTTACTTTTGGTGGTGCAATGCATTGCTCAGCTTTATGAAATAGATGTAAGAACTGACAAACATGATAAAACTGGTAGGCAGACTTATTTATGGCCAAATTTCATCATCAAAAATATATACAACATGAATGTTTTATACAGAGTGGGTTTCCTGTGACACTGAGCAAAAATAAGGGATGGATTTTTAAGTTATGATATCATAACTTTGATATATGAACACAAATATATTTATTTAAAAAATATAGTTTACTGTATATCAACAATGATTTTTCATTATTCATTCAATTGGTGATTATATTGATTGCAGGAGACCAATTGATATCCTATGAAATGTGAGATTCCTTATCTCAGTTTCTCAGACTCTATGGTAATGTTTTGCAAAATGTCTTGTTTGATCAGAGCAATAGTCTAAAACCCAATGTTATTTTATTTACATGATTATATACTTAAACTAAATATTTGCTAATTATTTGATAAGCAGTTCAATCAACAATACAGAGAATATTAACACTTTTTCCGTCAACAATTTCTGTAACTTGTACTTTTGAGACTCTTTCCAAAATTATCCTTTAAAATAATAACTTGCTACACCCTAAGTAAAGGGTTGAATTTAGTGTTGAAACTGTAGAAATGATTGTATGTGTCAACAACACATGAATTGAAATGGAATTATGTTAGCGCAATTTAACGCACAAGGACAGGCTATATTCAAATACATAATTTAGTTTTTCTCTCGTCCCTAGACCGAACATTTAGCCATTTCCAACTTTGATTGTGTCTGAAATTGAACCATCAGCTTGATATACTATCAGCCTCCTGCCACCCACTGTCCTCACAAAATTCTGGATCATTGTTGAATTTACGTCATAATAGTAGAGTGCCATATCCTTCCCGCCAAACACTGCTGCGGTATATCATCACTGAAGAGTCAATCATATTAAATTGGTTTGTTATTGTCTTGCCACTGAGCTTGCCGTCCACTGTCCCTCAGTGGCATTTCAGCCATTTCCGATAAAGATTTAAAATTAGCACCTCTATACATCTGTCCTCGGCTTTAAAATGCAACCTCACTCTGGATCAAATCCAATATTCCTTGCTTCCTCATCAATTATGAAGTGGAGCCAGGAAACGCTGTGGTGTTGTTGAAGGCTGTCAGGATAGTGAACCACCACTGAAGGTGAAGAGTTGCCTGACATGACAAATCACCTTGACCTAAGAATCACCCTGCATAATTGCTGCTTTCAGCGACAAAAAGGCACTTGCATCTCCCTCAAAACAGCCGTACTGTACAAACCAATTTCTCACTTCTTAGGTGTAAACACAGCACTATATATATATATATCAATTTCACATCCAATAACAACTGAGATGTATGTGCTTTTTGCTGGAGCGCTACATTGTTGCAGTGTTATAGCTACTTACTAGTTTTTTTAGAAATCATACAAGAGCAAATACAAGTAAGATTCGTGTTGTGTATGTATTATGTGTATGTACTATTACTCCACTTCAAGTTAAAGTCCAGCCATTTGAAAACAAAAGTATTTACAGGTAATTTGTATCAATGGTAAGAGGACTCAATATGCAAAATGTATGTTCTCCCGATAGACAACTACTTCTCCAGCCCCAGGTTGTCAAATGTGAGGCTTTTCTCTGATTTAAATCATTTCATAGAAAATGAGTGTGGACTGTTGGTTGGACAAAACAGTAGAATTGAGGCATCACATTGAAATTTGTATTAAAATCAAAAAATATATATATATATTATTGCTGGATTAATAACTGTTAATGGATTTTGGATCAATCTCATCACAAATTCTTCCTAGTATTGAAGAAGGCCCAGGAGTCGTGAAATAAAAACAACCTGAGGGAAAGCCTCAAGGGAATTTCCTCATATTTGGTACAACTGTCCACTTGGACAGATAAACTGGCCATAACTCAATAATTCATATGCTAATTATAATTTCACAGAATAGGATAACATAATGATGTGATAACATTTAGGAAAGTAATGAATGTAAACTCCAACTTGACTGGTTGGTAAAGGCATTAAAAACCTTGAGGCGATAATTCTAGTATTTGTTGGCACTTAAAGGACTTCTTATCCATGTCCACTTAGAAGAGTGGAGATTGAGATTGAAATATTCTTTTTGACCTTGGATCACCTGACCTTCTTTTTTGACCTTCTACTGCTGCCAATTTTCTGAACAATTATATTTTATCTCATTAATTATACATAAGGCACCTTTGGGGTCTGCATCAATCAAAAATATTCTCAGTTTCTTTTCCCCTTTCACCATAACCATTTGAACGGAAAGGTACATCTTCAAAACTACAACATCGATTTCATTATTTTAATTTAGGAAGTTAAATGTCCACATGTCAAATGTCCTTGGCAAGATACTGAACCTCAATGTGCTCCCAATTCCACAGCCATCAGTGTGTGAGAGTGCCTGAATGAGCATTAGATTAGATCCTGATGAGCAGTTTGGCCCCTAGTATGACAACCCCACCATCAGTGAAAGAATGTGTGTGTGAATTGGAAAATGTTGGCATGTCAGTGGTGGGAAAACTAGAAAGGAACTATATACATGAACGTTTCTTTACTATTTACCCACCAATGAGAAAAGGTATAACAAGGTGCATAAAATATGATCTTTTACCCACCATTTATATAACAAATTCATAATGTACATCGCCCATGGTGAGTGGCTCTAACAAGGTACCGTCAAGCTCTTACTCAAATATCCAAATCAGCCGTGAAATCCAGAGATTTTCAAATGACAAAATGTGCCTTTTATTAATGTTTAAACCATCTGTCTGTTCAATGTTCCATGTTACTTTAAAACAGGATGGTGCACTGATGATGATGAGCCATACATAATTACTGCTAACAGACGGCTCTGCATGCAGTCAAGTCGGAACAGGAGGGATATCATTCCATAAAATGAGATTTAACTCGACTTGCACTGAACAGTTTCCCGCACCCCAATCCTGGATTAAGAGCCAAATCTCTTTGGATTACAGTTTATGATGACCATTAAGAGTTTTATCCTGGGGGTACTTAAAACACAGTCCAACCGACCTGCTCAGAGAAGATTGCAGGGATTTGGACCTTTTGAAAGGTTTTGAGTTCAGGCATTTTGAGCACTTATATCTGACGCTGCATGTTCACAGGAAGCCAGACTGGTCCATGATGCATATTTAGTTCTGATGTTGTAAATATGTAAGGTATTTTGTACTGAGGGATTTGTTTTCCTGAAGGCTTACACTGTCATGTTGATCTCATTATACACTCATGTCCTACCATGAACTGTCAGATAATTTGACATTAAGCTTCAAGGCAGTTTCTAATCTTTACACAACATATATACCTTAGATTACTACTCTGCCGGAAATAGTCTATTCTAACATTTGATAAATACCACAACCAATGTGGTTTTCATAGTTTGTTTTCTTTGCTGTTACTTTAATTTACTCAATGCCATATGGCATTTTAACGCACTCACTGTCAAAGCAAATCAGTAAAATGCATTCAACACTTAATAATAAATGCTCAGACAGCAGTGTCACACAAAGTCGTTACTTTGAATTTTTTAACAAAACTAGTTTGAAACCTAGTAAATGGTTTGATCGCATTTGGTCGATGGCCAAACTGCCAAACACGAGGCTTTCAATTCGTAGTACTCGAAACAAAAGGGGACTAAACGCTAACTACCTCCACTTCTTACACAGTTTATCATTAACACCCTACAATTATAGTTTTCAAAAAATATAATCAAATCAAACCACTGTGTAAAGTTTCAAACACATTCACAGACACATTCAGGAAAAAATATAAATACATTAAATTAGAGTAGTGGCATTTAAGATTGCAATATATATTTGATCTCCTTCTGTTGAGCTCTGTTTGCAGGGTGGTGAATGTACTGAGGAAAGGGATCAGATGAGTGAAAGCAGAATGCAAAGAGGTGAAACACTGTCACACTTATTCATTATGGAAGTGCAACGGCCAGTGGGTTAACCTGATCACTCACAGAGAACATTTGCTACGAATGAAAATAAATAAAAATGAATGGGACTAAAGTGATGAAACGCCTAAAGATGGCT